TACAATCACCAAAAATAAAAAGCGGAATAAATAAACGATCTTTGAAGAATTCAGTCATTTGAGCTGGGTTTGCGTTCCGAAAACTACGAGCACTTCCGACAGTCAACTTAAAAACTCTGAGGTGTCAAACATTTTGGAAAGATTCCCAGAGTCATAGGCTGTTTTTTTTGCAGCTTATTCGAACACAACAATCATAATTATCAATCATTTTATGTTGACTTATAAAAAATACAGCTCAAATAGGAAAAAACCAGTTTTTCTTGTCAAATTGCCTTTCTCAATAAAGTACGAGTTTTATTATTTCTTCTCTTTAGTCATTTAGTCATTTCACCAAATTTCACCAGACAAACACCTAGTTCAATTTTGAAGGTATGATAAATTAGTTGATGAAACACCTTACCAAGTATTTGTATGGCATCCAAGCATACTTGGGTACATTTTTCTGCTAGGTACAGTATCACTCCGGCACAATCCTAAAAATTAAATTATAAAAGTTAAATGTGCATGTGTTCGATCACAATTACCTTATTTGAACAATGCCCCGCATCCGCTGCCTTTGCAACTGTATAGAGATAAGATCTGCATGCATTCAAAGTTGTGTACATATCAGCCATTTTACCTTGGATAAGCTGAAACTTATGCATCAACGATAGGCATTCGATATATTGAATTTTTACTCGCCTGAAAAGTTCCTATTTGCGTGCCAAAGGCTTCACGATGATGAGCATATTCGAAAGCAATGTCACAAGCAGCTTGCATTAACCTGAAAGGTTAGAGGGTAAGGAAATCTTGAAAAAAAGGCCATCAGAACCTACCCTAAGGGACCACCAGAGAGAACTAAGCGCTCGTAGTCAAGACCCGTCATCAGCACATACACTCCTTTTCCTTCTCCTCCCATAACATTTTCCTCTAGAAGAAACATGAAAAGTAAAAAAAATGTAATAAAATATTCGGAAAATTGTGAAGAGGAGAGCTATTGTTCACATTTCTTAAGCTCTTTATTTATCAATCTGAATTTCAATAGTCATCATCAATATAAGTGACAAACCAAGAAGAATTTTGGAAAAAGTGGAAATTAAGAAAACACTCAAAAACGATCGATTTTCTGTACCTATGAACTTCCGTCATTCTGAAATCTGAATGTTAAACTACTTCTGATTGTATTCTCTTTTTTTATTTGTTTTGTGACTGCTCCCCGAATTAAAAATTTCCGAAGATAACAATTACCTGGAACTTCGCAATCTTCAAAGACTAATTCGCATGTGTTAGACCCTCGCATACCCAACTTATTCAGCTTCGGAGAAGTGGAGAAGCCTTTGAAACCCTAAAATAGATTTTGAATGTTGATAAACCACATAAGTAAGATTTGAGGGCTCACCTTCTCTACCAAGAAACAGGTAATGCCGTGCTGATGCTTTTTTGTGTCAGTTTTGGCATAAACCACTAAGACATCGGCATCGGGACCGTTTGTTATCCAGAATTTCGTGCCATTCAGAATATATCTGGAAGAAACACAAGTGGTGCACAAAAAAAATTTTTTTTACAAAAAATTATGTTAATAACGTACTTGTCACCACGCTTTTCTGCCTTCAGCTTCATGTTGACAACGTCAGAGCCGGCATTTGATTCGGACATGGCTAGAGCTCCTACATGTTCGCCAGTGATTAGCTGAAATTTTTTTTTCAAAATCAGAAAAAATTTGGAATTCGTTTTCCGAAAGCTATCTACAACTAGGATGGTTCATGAGTCTTTCATGAAAATTTTCGAAGAGTCAACTATGTGCTTTCAATAAAACAACTTGATTTAGCTAGCTTAAAAGAAAAAATATGCCAAATATTGCTCAAAAATATCACGGTGATATCTTGCTGGAATCGGTGATACAAGCTGGTT